CCAAAACCCCAAAACCCCAAAACCCCATTAGTTAAAAAACAAATGAAATAGTGAAATAATTAATTTAAATTCAAAATATTGGAATGGACACTGATTAGGATGTAAGTATTTTGCTGGCAGCACTAAATTTATTGATTTCAGCAAAACAATTATACTGACGAGCAAGACTTCAATGATATATAACTTGAAGGAACAGAGCATCTAAAATAGGATAAGGTAATTTTAAATGATATATGATAAATGAATTTTAGGATATTTTAGCTTAAGCTAGATCATTACTCTAAAAAGAAAGGGGGTACGTCCCAAAAGTAATCTAATTTTTAATGAATGATAATAATTAGTTTGCTGGTGCAACTGCTGCCGAATCATTAAGACCAACTGGAATTTAACTATTTCAAATGCTAAGACATTTAGACTTAGCAACTAAATGTGAAATGTTTATGGTAAGTTGCAAGCATTTTTAATAAAAATCTGACATCACCCCATTATATAACTAATTGTAAAATATAGTATGAATTGCAATCGAGCATATTCTGGGCATCGATTATTGAGCTTTGTATGTTCCTTCTAGGCTTCATACTCTTCTGTGTGGTTCCAGAATTAATGGCCTTTATCTGGCTGCATGTTTTCCATATTCCTCGATCAATCCTCGGCTTCATTCTATTGAAAAATCTCCCAAGATCTCACGATATAGTTGCCTAGCTAGAAATTCCTGATAATCACTATGGATTAGAGTAAATTTCAGAGTTACTCAAGGAAAATATAAAGAAAATCTTTATGAAAAGTGCTGATGAATGTAAAGGTCTCCTTTTAGGTTACTGTATCTTAACTCTAATCAGCACCACCTTTGACTTCATTGAATTTTTGGTTTAGTTTATAAGATTTGGCAGAGATGGTGACGAACATTCTGAGCTTGCAATGCTTGCATTAACTCTTATATTTTTGGCTCTTGATTTCTATTATATTGTATGGGTTGTACAAGCTAAAGATAAATTTGAGCCAGAAATCTCAAACCACCTTACCAGAGCACTATTCGGATTCGCCAATGACTTGGTAAGACAACTAGGATAGAAAGCTGGACTTGATCCATTATCAAAGAGAATGGCTGGATTTGTTAACTCAAAGATTAAAAGAAATAATGATATTGGAGATGATTAGAATGGAACAGTAGACTAACTCTAAAATAGTACAACAAAAAAATAATGAAGTTTTAAATTACTAGTCTGCATTAACGTTTAAAGTCTTAAAAATTTTGATTCGTAATATTTATGAAATTAAGAATAATCAAATCATTATCAAAATAGAGTAATTGTAATTTGCTTTGGATTCAAAATTCACTTTCCTTTTTCTCATCATTATTTTCTCTTTCTTATGAATCTGCTTGATCTTCATCTATGTGCTCATTCTTGATTCTTTTTATTTTCTTGAGAAGTTTTTCAGGCAGCCAATCAATCATCCAGTAAAGATAATCCCTGTATTCCCATCTCACTAGATCCCCAAAATCTGAAGGATAGCCGTATTCTTTTATGGTAGTTTCATATGATTCAATGAATATGGACATGAAGATGCTTAAGAATATAAAAATCAAGAAAAAGTATAGAATATAAGACCAAATCACAGCAATAGCAGGGTTGGATCTTATCATTTTTTCAGTTTCTAATTGGCCAAGCACAAAGAATAGAACTGATTTTAGTGATTGTGAAAATGTATGATAAGGCTTTATGTACGGCCCAAAAACAATATACACTATAAATGTGAAGCCTGCAAAGCAAGGTATTAAAATTATCATGAAAGCCAAAATCTGAGATACTGCCTAAAAAGATTTTTATTGAGGCTAATTATTTATTACCTTATCTATAGTAAGTAGTGCCCAATGGATATATCTACTTATTCTTAAAACCCAGACAATTTTGACAAATAGGAATATAATACAAACAGAGTCAAGAGTATAAGTTTCTTGATACCATTCTGCTTTGTTAACAAAATCTATGAATTATTCCGATTTAAATATTTCGTCTGTTTTCTGGTTCGATGAGTAATAGCTTAGTACCCAGGAGAAAAAGAAAAAGAATATAATTGAAAAGTCCATGATTAATCCAATATAAAGTTACCTTGCTATCTCTATCAATCTTTAATATCTCTAAACATGCTTTAAATCATAATTTATCTTACTAGTTTCTGATAGATAATGAAAACTATATAAAAGCAGAGTATCAGTCTAAATATATCACAAGCCTGTAATGCCTTTTCACTACTTTATTCAAAGATGTTGGCTCTGAAAGGTATAATGTTGACATATGTAGGATGAACAACTCCCGCAGCTAAGAATTCAATCATAACGTCTACGACAATGAAGTAATCACATGAAGGATTGTAGAAAGAAAAGGTAATAAAATGCACTCGTGTAGTTACATCAATATATTTATTCTCAGTTTTGAACAGGTTATTTACATACGTAACAAAACTCTCTCGAGATTAATTTAAGTCAATATCAAGCATATATCCACCTCCATCATAGTTCTCTACTTCTCCATAAAACTAGACTAATAAACTAAATAATATTACATTTCCAACTATCTGAAGTCTAGATGAGCTCTAATAATTCTGCCAAGGCTAAGATCCATCTCCAAGCATTCCTGTTTCTTGCCCATCAGATAAAGAATATGTGTAACAGTTACCTTATGGCCAATCTATATAGCAATCAGACTTAGTTGCTCTCTACTACCTAAATCGCATTTTGCCCAAAAATTGAGAGATCTAGCTTATCTCAGATTGATTTTATGAAGTTGAAAAAATTGCTACAGCTAGAGTTGTATTAACAAACTTATAGAAATCATCTAACTTCTAAATTTAGGAAAACTCAGTAAGTGTTGGATCATTAAAAACATCATTACCAATAAACTAAGCTTCTACTTTTCTATGAAGCCAATATTGTAGATTTATATCTCTTCTCAGATATATTGAGAGCAAGGTAAACATCATTAGGAATAGTGCTACTAATAGAGTGCAAAATTTGGTATCAGGAGAGGATAAATGTGACTTGTTTATTCTTCTTGATTTCTTATCTCCTATTTAAAAGTATTTAAGTCCAGGATAAATTGAAGTGAATTTCTTGATGTACTCTTTGTCACCAACTTTGTTTTGAACTTTATTATCCTTTTACTCTATTTCTACCTTTTACTTATTTTCCCCTCCAAAGTATTCACTCTTTATTCTAATTGCATCTTTTTAGTTTGAGGATATGACTGTATTTTCTAGATCAGGTTTCTAAATATAGAGAGTTGGAGTTGTTTTTAGTCTTGTAATTTCAAAGTATTTTTCTACAAAATGAGCTATATGTGAGGGATCTTGATTAAGACTCATTAGATCATGTAGATTTTCATCATATAGACTGTACTTGGAGGGATCAATACCCCAGAACTCACAAGATTCCTGCCTCAAGTCTTCAAATGTTGTGGTCTTCATTATTCTGAATCTTTGTTCAAGATAGTCATCTTTCTTCTTCCTTTTACCCATTTGGATCTCTCTTGCTTTAAGCTTCACTAAGATCGAATTTACAAAGGGTCTAAAATCTTCATTCTGATCGTGCTTATTTTCTTTTCGAAATATTTGAATCTTATCTTCAATTAACTCCTATACTCTTTAACTAATCCTCTTATCCCAAATTATCTCTTCACCTTTTGACATTTTTTTACCTGCATCTAATGCATTTATATCTTAATCGGCTTCTTTTATAGGCTAAGCGTCTTGGTCATCCTTCAATGCTCTCTCTTTCTTAAGTCCTCTGTCTAATTCTTATCTTTTAACCTAATTATAATAAGAAACTTTTCCTTACATAAAGTCTAGTATATTCTTCACCCTTAGCAGCATTATCATTTTTAAGGTGCGATATTTCATCCTTTTTTAGATAAATTTCCTCCATTAGCCTTTGAATCTGCAGAGTCAGCTAGTAATCCTAACATAATTTGAGTAAAGTATAATTTACATCATCCATTTCAATTTCGATAATTAATTCAATTCAATTTCTTAAAATAACTAACTTTGATTATTATACCAAAGCGGGGTTTTGGGGTTTTGGGGTTTTGGGG